AAAATCAGCCTCATACGACCAAATATAAATGAAAACAAAAAAATACATGTTAGCAAAAAGATAGATATAAATGCAATAACATACAAAAATGTAAACGAAGACATAAAAGCATAAATATGATATAATGTATATGTAGGTATACGGACATGAATTTATATTTTTGGAGTCAACCGGTACAAAAACACTTCGGCTGATTTATACTATAGGAAACTCTCTCTATGGAGTGATATCCCAAATCCCATCATAAGCAGTCTCTGGACCTTGGTATCCAACCCCCCTGAGAATTCCGAAATTCTGGATTGATCTAGAATGGCGTCTCAAGCCTCGTAGTTCGACGACTTTTGGGGCTCAAATTAGTGCTCAAAACGCGATTTCCTCGCGACGAAGAGCTTTCGACATATATTGTATAGGGGGGTAGTTCGGACTATTCGGAAGAGGCCTAGTGGGTTGATAAAGCCGAATCAACGAAACCGAGGCGATCTATCTTTGAGTTATCATGGAGTCATCATGGCTCATCATGGAGTCATCTTGAGCTCAACATGGATTCATCTTGAAGTCATCATGGAATCATTCTTTGTCCTAGCACCAAGTCTCGGAAACCGGTTTCGAGGCTGAAAACTCCCGAATCTCGCTTTCGATCCCGAAACGGCGGAGAAATGCGGGGGGGTTTGCCCGAGGCTGTTTCGAGGCTGAAAACGACAGAGTTTCATCTCGGTCCCGAAAACGACGCCGAAACCGGGGTCTCGCCAAGACAATTTTTCAGGCGAAATTTCACCCGAAATCGGGCCGAAAATTAATTGGTTCGAACTATCCCCCCTACTTTCGTACTCTTCAAGACACATGAATCTGACACACCCACTTCTGTTGGGTTCACTGTCTTCTTATGAGTGTTTGGGAAGTGTAGGAAGCTGCGTTGGCTGCCGAAGGTGGCCTTGCTTGAAGTAACTTGTAGTACTCTACTTGCAGGAAAAACATTGATTCGGTGGCATCAGGGTGCAACTCTCTCGGCTTCGGAGGTTGGCACAGCTACGACTGTTACACTCATATCTGGAATCTCTTCCACGTCAGCTTGCGCAGTATCCTGAAGAGTCTGGAAAGCAACGGCGAAAGTCGCTCCAGACAGAGGGTGCCTGCGGCGTGCACTGAATGCTCAAGCAGTGCCTGGCGCTTCTGTAAGTCTGGAGACTTTGCTAGCCCTCCAGATAGTAGCCGGACGCATGCACTTTCTTCGGTGTGCGTCGACATTTCTGTTAGAGCATGCAGCCCCACGGTTTAGGAAAGCAAATTCGTCTGTACAGCGCATGTGGCCGAGCAACATGTTGCTCAGTCGGGCAGGTGCACTTTCGTACTCTTCAAGACACATGAATCTGACACACCCACTTCTGTTGGGTTCACTGTCTTCTTATGAGTGTTTGGGAAGTGTAGGAAGCCGCGTTGGCTGCCGAAGGTGGCCTTGCTTGAAGTAACTTGTACTGTAGTACTCTACTTGCAGGAAAAACATTGATTCGGTGGCATCAGGGTGCAACTCTCTCGGCTTCGGAGGTTGGCACAGCTACGACTGTTACACTCATATCTGGAATCTCTTCCACGTCAGCTTGCGCAGTATCCTGAAGAGTCTGGAAAGCAACGGCGAAAGTCGCTCCAGACAGAGGGTGCCTGCGGCGTGCACTGAATGCTCAAGCAGTGCCTGGCGCTTCTGTCAGTCTGGAGACTTTGCCAGCCCTCCAGATAGTAGCCGGATGCATGCGCTTTCTTCGGCGTGCGTCGACATTTCTGTTAGAGCATCCAGTCCCACGGTTTGGGAAAGCAAATTCGTCTGTACAGCGCATGTGGCCGAGCAACATGTTGCTCAGTCGGGCGTGTGCACATGCGTACTCTTCAAGACACATGAAGCTGACACACCCACTTCTGTTGGGTTCACTGTCTTCTTATGAGTGCTTGGGAAGTGTAGGAAGCTGCGTTGGCTGCCGAAGGTGGCCTTGCTTGAAGTAACTTGTAGTACTCTACTTGCAGGAAAAACATTGATTCTCGAACACCTCTCCAAACGCTTCGGAAATTGGCGACTGTTACACTCACAGCTCTTCGTCGTCAGCACATGCAACGATTCGCCGTGCTGTCCTGCATGGGCACTGGGGCCTCCGACACCGTCATATCGATCGCGCTTGGGAGAGCAAGGTCATGAGTTACATGTGGTCCGCTTGCCAGGGTCTGGGAGGAGCTTGCAACCTCCTCGGTGTGACAAACTGGCACTGTCGAGAGGGTTGTGGCATCGTCAGCCACATCTTTCTCGAAGACTGCCACGCCGCCATCATGCGGATTTGGAAGTGCTTCTTCTTCTTCTTCTTCCGCAGAAACTTCCAAAACCACCTCTGCTGGCAGAAGCAACAGCAATGTTGCGTAATGCTTGCAAAACGGACTTTAGCATCCTAACCTGCCTGCTGCGCAATCACACGCTCTGCAGGCAAGAACGATGCTCGGAGCGCAGTTGCGCAAGGCGGCTCGGGCAAATCTGTTTGAAGTCTTGCTCCCCATGGTTCCGCAAAGCAACAAGACAAGCACACTCTTTTTCAGCATGGGCTTGGATTGTGTGCCAGCGAACACTTCCCAACAGCAGGGCCTTCTCGTTTAACGAGGGCCCTAAACCCTAGACATCCCTAGACCCTAAACCCCAGATAACCCCAGCCCCCCGGCACCTTCGCGTCATCAAAGCTGTCGCCTCTGGCTCCAAGGACTTCGGGGCGCTGAAGGCGGCCGGCAAAGTTTGCGAACCGAGCTTCCAGGTGGCATGCTTGTGCTGCATAGCCTGCGGCGGGTTCGACAAACTGAAGAGTTTCCGCTAAGGATCCTGATTATGGGGGCAATTGTACCAGCTCGGGTCTGAGCCTCATGGAAAACTAGAAGCTGCATGGTTGGGCAAACTCAACAACCTTTGAGCCTCCCACGGTTTTTCAAGGCGCAGGAGTCTGGTTCCAGCAAGGAACTTACGCAGGGCTTCTCTCAAGCCAGTAGCACAAACGTGTTTTTTGCCATCGCAAAAACCCACGCCTGACGAACTCAATCAAGGAACTGCTGATCCCCCCAAACACCCAATGACAGAAGCATCCCATGCTATTCAAACTGAAGCTGCGGCGAGTGGGCCGCTTCAGCCCTTTAGCCTCCGACCCCACTTTTTCAGGTTGCCGGAATCCTCAACTCGAGGATTCTAGGATGAACAGCTCCGAAACTACGCACCTTCAAACTAGCATCGCTTTCTCTCAGGCCAGCAACACAAATCTATATAGCCATCCACAACCAACACCTACGGAGCGAAGGAACTCCAGCTGATTCCCGCCCAAAACGTAGCAAAAGAAACGGGAGCTTCAATGGCCTGCCTGAAAACTGGTATGTGCTCAGCAAGATGCTGCAGAACTGGATCAGCATTTGCGATGCCTTGCATGTCCGAACATGGACCGATGTCACAACCGGATCTTGGGCTGAGGCATTGTCACTGACTTACCAAAAACCAGACTAATCTTGCATGCCCTAGAAGCTGTACTGACGGCGTAGAAGAATGCTTAGGCCGTGACACAGGCGCACAACAAGGCTTCAGATCGTTTTTCTTCCTGGGGCCACCAACAGAAGCGCACGAGCTAAAGAGCCTAAGCTTACTATCATATCCTCTGAAGCTGACGGCTCTTGTTCGCGAAGCTAAGTAAGGAGTCAAATATCCTCGAGGAAGTTCAAGATGTCTTGCCGCGGAATGCCGCGCTTTGCGCTGGCTGTGACAGCCTGCTGTAGAATGCAAATGGGTCGACCTATGTAAGTTATTGGAGCTGTGATGCTAGTCTCTGTGCTTGGCTCAGAATCAAGCGCAAGACAATCATGACTGCATGCGCATCACAAAATCCCAGCAGGAAAAGGTCAACGATACCAAGTGCCAGTTTGCAGCCTGCGTGATTGGATTGCTTTTGCTGCCCCACGGTAATCTTCAAGCTGATAAGTCTTAATTTGGCCCAGAACCTGGCAAGTACATTTACAATGACAACGAGGCCTGGCGGAGACGCCACAAGGGAAGGACGCACAGCTGCTTCAGGGTGCTCCGGACCACAATGAATGTCAGAACGGCAGCGAACGAGTAGTCCCAGGACAGGAGAAATGTCCAAATGGTGTTGACATCCGCCACAACTGGCATGATTTTCGAATGAACCTCAAAGAATTGCTCCGGCGACTGCTCCAAGAGATCCTTCACAGCCTGCAGAGCTGCTTCTTGAAGGTCTTCAGGCTCTGGATCCCCTCGGCCACCACGGAGTCGCTTCGCACAGCCCATGACGACGACAAGCGCCAACCACACCACATAAGACAGGACGACCATCAGGCTGAAAAGATATAGGAACATGAAAAGACTTGCGGCGCTTATAGGCCCGAAGAAATTGTCCTCCCACAAACCGTGGTGCCAGTGATCATAATGCCCCTGCCCCAACTGCGGGTCAATGAGGAAATAGCCACCGAGTCTTGAAGCTCTCCACTCCGAGTGAAACGGATTGATTATTGTGCCGTGAATCGCATGGAGGAAATGTCCTGCTGAGCCGATGGCCGTCAGAAAGTGGACAATGCCCATCAATACTGAAGTGCGGAGGAGGGCAATCACTTGGCTGGGAAACCCCCGGCTCAATATTGCCAGAGCCGGAGCGCGGCCGCAGCCCACGCAGTCGAATGGCTGGGATGAAGTAAGCAAGAGTCACTGCAGGCAACCACCAAGCCCAATAGACAACAATCAGCGCGAAGCCGAAAAGAGAGATGGCAGTATAAACTTCCAGCCAACACCAGAGCCGCAAAAGCATTCTGTGAGTTGAAAAGGCTTGACTGACTAGAAGCATAGCACCGTTCTGGAACGGATCCAAATGCTCCGCGGTCGAATGCAAACTTGCGCGCTGCCGTTTCCTTTGCAAGAGTTTCTGTTCGAGGGCCACGACCGCGCAGGCCACCAGGACCGCGCAGCCAGGAACGATCCAGGTGCGCACATTTTGGAGGGTTGCGGAGATCACGGCCGTCGTTGAGACTTGCGCCTTCAAGAAGCCTGTGGCGTCTGGGTCATACAAAGCTGCCCACAGAGGAATCTTTGAAGGAGTTCGCCAGTCCACATAACCGCCGCAGCTCAGCCAAAGCTGCACCGCAGGCTTCGAGAGCTGTCGGAATGACAGACAGTTTAAGTCTACAGCGTGCGCATGCCAGGATGGCTGGAACCAGGGTGCAGTCACGTTGCAAGCCGCTGCGACTACCAGCTCGCATTGAAGTCTGTGGACAGTCGGCATAGAACCGTCCGGCCACATCTGCTTTAAGATCTGCACAAGATCATAGTCCCAGTCCCCCGTCCGGAATGGAACTGCGTGCAGCGGAGTGTCGCCCTCGTTGTTGGTGGCACGCAGGGCGGCATGCACACCTCCAGGCCAGCTGTCAGTGAGCATTTTCATCGTTTCCCAGCGAAAGCAACGAGGTAGAGCAATGTGAAGCGGTGTGTCACCATCGACATCTCTCGCTTGTAGTCCTTCGGGCCATGCCTCCAGCAGCAAGTGCCAGACGTCAAACGAGCAACCTTCGGATGAAGCAGCCCGTGAAGCAGCCACATGCAGAGGTACTCGTCCAGAAGAGTCAACCACTTGAACACCTTCCGGCCAAGCTTCAACCAGCAAGCGAGAAGCGTCGAAATAGCCATCAGCAGCCACATGCCGAGGTACTCGTCCAGAAGAGTCAGCCACTTGAACACCTTCCGGCCAAGCTTCAACCAGCAAGCGAGAGGCGTCGAAATAGCCAACAGCAGCCACATGCAGAGGTAGTAGTCCAAGAGAGTCAGCCACTTGAACACCGTCCGGCCAGGCTTCGACCAGCAAGCGCAAGATGTCAAACGAACGACGACAGGATGCATGCAGCAACGTCCCGCCTGTCCAGTACTCCCCGTCAGTGCGAATGCTGCTAACGTCGATCTGCCCGGAGGACAGCAGCTCCGCCGCTCTGCTGGCATTGTTGCGGCGGACGGCTTCTAGCAACTCAGGTCGCATGCAAATTTGTAGCGGAGTGTCGCCTGCATTGTTGGTGGCACGCACACCTGCCGGCCACCTACCTGTCAGCATTTCCCACACTTCCGAGTTGCCCCCACAATGTCTTGAAGCATAGTGCAAGGGTGTGTCACCGTGGACATCTTTGGCGCTTACTCCTTCGGGCCACGCCTCCAGTAGCGGCTGGATGGCATGTAAAGCTGAGCGGTTGTAGTTGTACCGCTTGCAATTCACCAGGCCTTCAAAAGCCGTATGCAGCGGTGTTTCGCCAAATTCGCCAGCCACTTGAACACCATCCGGCCAGGCTTCGACCAGCAAGCGCAAGACGTCAAACGAGCACCAGAAGGTGGAGGCTGCTTCATGCAGCAACGTCCAGCCTTCATATCGCCTGTACTCCTCGTCAATGCGAATGCTTCTAACGTCAATCTGCCCGGAGGACAGCAGCTCCGCCGCTCTGCTGGCATTGTTCTTGATGACGGCTTACCTTAACTCACTCTGCATGCAAACTTGTAGCGGAGTGTCGCCTGCGTTGTTGGTGGCTTGCTGCACACCTGCCGGCCACCTACCTGTCAGCATTTCCCACACTTCCGAGTTGCCCCCACAATGTCTTGAAGCATAGTGCAAGGGTGTGTCACCGTGGACATCTTTGGCGCTTACTCCTTCGGGCCACGCCTCCAGAAGCGGCTGGATGACATCGAAAGGTGAGTGGGGAACATTTACATATACCATGCATCCAAAAGCCGCATGCAGAGGTGTTTCGCCAAATCCGTCAGCCACTTGCACACCGTGCGGCCATGCTTCGACCAGCAAGTGTAAGATGTCAAGCAAACACCAGCGGGAGGCTCGATGAAGCAAAGTCATGCCTTCAGCTACATTGTAATCGAACGTCCAGCCTTCATTATTCCGGTACTCGTCAACAATGCGAATGCTGCTAACGTCGATCTGCCATATGTCCCCGGAGGACAGCAGGTTCGCCACTCTGTTGGCATTATTGTCGTTGACGGCTTCTACCAACTCCCCCTGCATGTCGGCCCGGACCACCGCGCAGAGCCATAGCGCGGCCACCGCGCAGAGCCATAGTGCGGCCACCGCGCAGAGCCATAGCGCGGCCCAGCGGTGCATCTGGGTCTGCTTTGCAGATCCCAGCCTGAGCCTGGACAGGCTGAGGCAATGGCAATCGCGGCATGCCCTGATCAAGCCGTCTGCTCTACCGTGAAACCCGTGTAGCCAGAAAACACAGTGAACAGCTAAACAAATGAAAGGCCAAAGGGGTCGCAAAGGCGTTGCTGAGCCCCGAGACTGCCAAGCTGTCTCGATCCCATTTGGCGCCCACGTGCCTCTATCTCAGCATAGCGGACTGCAAGCTGTAGGGTTCTGGCTTGCAGGGTTCCAGGGCTTGTTGCGTCTCGGGACGTCCAGACACAGAGCTCCCCCTGGCAAAGCTATAGATCTAGAAAGCTGGGCCCAAGCCCACCGTCCCGCTGAATGAAGTGTGTGGACCACAAACATGGACTCAGCACGAGGACACCTGCGCATACAAGCATGTATGCACGTGTTCGCAGCTCTACACAGGCACAGGTACACACCCCTACACGCATACATATATATATACACACACACATACATACATACATACATACATACATACAGACAGACAGACAGACAGACAGACAGACAGACAGACCGACCGACCGACCGACCGACAAACAGACAGACAGACAGACAGACAGACATACTGCGAAAGTACACTAGTCCAGAATGCGCACCAAACTACCCTAAAGTAATTCCGTGCGCAAGCTCACACGAGACCAAAGTAGCCCTGAAGTTCGGAAGCGCCTTTTGCCTGCAAGGGCAAAGTGGTCTTGAGCCACACTGTAGCATTGTGGCAAAGTCTGGGGGAGAAAGGGAGGTGTTATTTTCACACGCTTCCTCGAGACTAAAGTTACTTACTTTATTCTCGTAAAGTATATAACACGTACAAAGCATGTACATGTGTAAGTGAGCGGATGCGCAAAAGTTGTTTCCGCTTCCAGCGCTGGAGAACTGCAAAGTGCAACGATGCCTCGTATCTACAGCATCAAAAGTTGCCTCTGTGGCAAAGTTCGTTGTGCTCGTTGTGCACGTGTGTCGGCCCATCAAAGTGCAGCGACAAAGTCGTATCGTGGTGCCGTGGCGTAGCAATCGGCACAGCAAAGTGCAGCGATTGGCAAAGTAGCACCAAACGTCAGAAGACGCCGAAAAGTGTGCTGCAAAAGTGGCCAACCATAAGGCGAAAAGTGCCACCTTCAGAGGCGTGGGCGCGCCATGCGTTGCCAAAGTTGACGGGGGATCAAGTCCCAGTCTTTGGCGTTCTGTGTAATGTGCCAAAGTGACTTCAGAACTGGCACATGAAAAAGT